CAGGTGTATGCCTTAGAAGGGAAAAATGTGTGTTTCAGGCATCCCAAGTGACCCACTTGGGTTAGAGATTCAACAAAACCAGGTTACACCCATTGGAAGATAATGTGAGGGCGATCAAAGATGCCCTGGCTCCCACATATGTACCGGAACGTAGGTCTTTGCTTGGATTAGTGAATTATTATGGGAAATTCGTATGTTACCTGGCCTCCATCTTGGCACCCTTACACCTGCTACCGAAAAACAGTCAGCCTTGGAAATAGTCGCAAAGCCAAGACAGAGCCTTTAGGGATGTGAAAAAGCAGCTATCATCTTCTTAAGGTGTTGGCCCACTATGATCTGAAGTGAGAGGTGGTGCTAACGTGCAATATCTCCTTGTACGATATCGGAGTAGTGTTGGTTCACAGATGGCCCAATGGAGAGGGGAGCGCCCACAGCGTATGCTTCCTGGATTCTGGCTGAAGCCGAACGCAAATATACCCAGATAGAGAAGAAAGGTCTTTTAGTCATCTTTGGTGTGAGAAAGTTCCATCAATACCTTTTACGGACATGAATTTGTCATAGCAAAGGACCACGAATCCTTGCTAGGGATATTTAAAGAAGACAAGGTGGTGCTACCCACAGCTTCGGTAGAATTCAGCGTTGGGCCCTTATTCTCAGTGCTTACAAGTACACATTAGAACACCTTCCAGGAAGCCAGTGGCTAATGCGGATGCCTTGAGCCGCCTCCCACTGGCAGATGCTCTACTGGTGGCGCCTCCCCGGAAGAATCCATTCTAGTTTTAAACTTCCTGGTCACCCTTTCAGTCACCGCTGACAATATCTAACTGTGGACTCAAAAAGATCCAGTCCTGACAAAACCAACACAGCTGATGGTAATGGGGGAAACAAAAGGACCATCACAACCAGATTGAAACCTTTTCGAACCTGGAGAAACCAGATCACAGTAGAGGACAGCATATTATTATGGGGAGCAAGAGTGAATGTCCTGACTAAAGGTCACCACCAGATACTGGCTGAACTCCATCAGAGACATGCCAAGAATTTACGTCTGGTGGCCAGGATTGGATGCTGACATAGCTGTGTTAGAGGGGCAGTGCCCAGAGTGCCAATGAGGACAAAAATTGTCGCCAATGGTGCCCCCACATACATGGAAATAGCTGTGTAAACCCTGGACTCGGTTACATGTCGACTATGCCAGTCCTTTCATAGGCTCAACTTTCCTGGTCATTGTGGATGCCATTCAAAGTGGTTGGACATGCATAGAGTTCATTTGGCAAACTCAGGGATGATGACTGAAAAGGTGCGAGTATCCTTAGCAATATACAGACTCTTTGAAGTACTGGTCATGGAGAATGGGATGTGGAAGCTGTTAGTTATAGGTGTAAGGCTTGCAGCAGGGAATACAAGTACTTCCTAAAGTCGAGTCACATTTGGCACGCAAGGACATCTTTATACCATCCATCATCCAATGGTCTGGCAGAAAGAACAGTCCAAATGTTGAAAGCAGGCTTAAAGAAACATCCTACAGCTTCACTATGCATCCGAGATGGATGCAGCCTCGATATCATTACCACCAGAAAGAGAGGATGAAACTCTCCCCAGATGTTCCGGAAACACGAGATGGGCTACAGGCCAGTACATGCCGCACTTGCCGTCTATGTCAGAGGAACCATACCTGGGGAGGCGCGAAAACATTGCAAGAGAAGCTACCCGAGAAAGACCAGCCCTACTTGCCTGGAGTTGGGTGGGGAGCTGTGGTGATTTGAACCAGGTGAATCTTATTGACTATGACATCCTTGATTGGGGCTGTTAACCTGGTCCAATCAGGGAGACCTACCTAACCAATCTTCAGGGACTGACTCCAAGCCAGCCAGCTAGATGTAAATAGAGGGTGACTTGCTGACCGGATACTGACCTCTCTGCAGCTATTTCAACATCTGTCTTCAGCTAGTTCTGATTGCAAGTGTGATGAGACACTTTTGGTTGACCCAAGTGTCAAAGTTGAATAGCTTGCACAGCGTGGAAGCTGTTAGCTATAGGTATAAGGCTTTCAGCAGTGCTAAGTGTAGGAAAGTGAAGTGAAACATGTGTATGATAGGTATGAGGGGTGACTGACAGAGCTCACTGATAGGTCAGTGAGAGGGTTGTGGTAATTTGAATAGTAACTATGTGGTTCCATTGGTTGAATATGATGATACTTTCAATGAACCTGACAACTTGTTTTCTTTGATTCATTCATGGGATACAGGTATCATTGGCAAGGACAGCGTTTATTGCTCCTCCTTAATTGGCCACAAGTCAGTTAAGAGTCAGCCACATTGCTGTGGGTCTGGAGTCACGTGTAGACCAGCCCAGGAAAGGATGGCTGGTTTCTGTCCTTATAGGGCAATAGTGACCCAGATGTGTTTTGTTGATTTTTTTAAAAAATGGACATAACTAGGCCAGCTGTTTGAATCCAATGCAAATCTGGATTAAATTTCACCAGAATGTTAGTTTGGGTTCTGGATTACTAGTCCAGTAGCATTCCTACTGCAGCAGTTTTCCCCATACAGTGAGGTCAGCATACAAATAGTACAACATTAAATCCACTCAGACAGGGCTATAACACGTGTCAGTGACCTATGGTTATTTGTTCCCACTACTGTCTCATTCTCTATCTGCAGGGTGCCCTGTCTCCAATGTGGAAATAGAACACCACCTCTCTTCTTTTTCACCTCCTCTTTCAAGATTGCCTTGCAGCATGAAAAAACCTGGGTGCACACTCTCTCCCATCATTAGCCACTGCTTTGTTCGTTGCATGATTCAAAATGATCCTGTCACCTCCAGCAGTCACAATGTACCTTCTGTATAAGAAGTGCAGGTGAACTTTAAGAATGTGTTATCAGACAACATTATTGGGCACTCTGCCTTTGTGTTCATTCCAGTTACTCCTGGCAACCTGGAACAATTATTGCAATAAGCAGATAGCACAAAGTTGGCATACTGTCCGCTTTCTCTTTGACTGATATGGGGTAATTTCACATTGTGATTCTCATGCCTGTTTTTGGGGCTATCTAATTCAACCCTTAGTTAATGAATACCAACTTTACAACTCTGCAAGAAATGGCATTTGATCACTTCATTACTGGAGTGCTAAACCTATATGTGCCTTCAGACAAATTCAAATGATGCTAATCAGTAATAAGGTCCAAAAGCGTAAGTTAAATCTATTGTACAATATAATGCTCTGAATGGGTTAATGTTGGAGACTGCATTAAGTTCTGGCCAGTGTGAAGATGTCATACAGGCTTGGGTAACAATAAGGCAGAAAATCTTAAATCTTGTGAAGTGAAGATTCATAGGTTTCTTATACTCTTAGTCACAATGTTCGTGTAACTTGGGTATTGCTGAGAAGACACATTCTGACAAAACCTCCCTTGCTAAATCAGGACATGTCACAAGAAGACCAAAGTCAAAAGGGAAATCAATATTTATACTGTATGACAGGAGAATGCTTATTGGTTAGCAAGTGAATTCTGATTGATAGAGGTGCTGCCATGGACAGTGCACGACATAATGATAGCTAAGGATTAACTGTCAGGCTTTGTGTTTTAAACAAGGAAAGTTGACTCTGACTGGGCAAGGTATTGCCTTGAGGTATGAACCAGGGAATGACTCTCACCTATTGCATTGTTTGTCTGAAAAGACCAGATTCTATGTATTGATAAGTGTATCTTTCAGTACATGCCTCAATTTGCAGCCTGAAAGAGGAACCCAAATCAAGTGGCAGCATAATTCTTTCTACAATCAGGATTATGTAACAAATGTTGTTCAATTGCAGAATCATACCTAATGTTGGACACTGCATTGAGTGTTTTGGAAGCATGGGCTACTTGGCTACAGTCAGTAGCTTGCTTGTTGCTCTTTGGTGCCAGCCACCATCTTTGGGATGTGCAGCTATATACCTAGCATCACAACAATTCATATACCACATTAGTCTTTTGGGCGATAGGCCAATGTATCTTTTTCAGCAATACTCAAGTGCTGTATTGCTAAACTACGGTTTGTCTAATTAATGTAACTTGCACCTTACTGATAACATGCAAAAAAAACTGTTTAAGATAACAGCCTCTTCCTGTTGAAACTCGATGGTTGTACCTCTATCACTGTAAATTGAACTTAGAAGCAGTCCAGGAAAGAGGAATGGTAGCAGCATTCTACAGACAAATACACCCAAAACCAGGCATTAAATTACCATGGGTACATATGAACACAAAAAACAGAAGTAAACCATTTAGTCCCTCAAGCCTGTTCCACTGCCATTCATTGAGATTATGACTAATCTGAAACCAAATTTCATCTAACTACCTTTGTCCCATACCCTTTAATCCTAGTCTAATAAAACTATCAATCTCATCTTTAAAATTTACATCTGATCCAACATCAATTGCCACTTGTGGAAGAGAAATCCAAATGATCACATTTTACATCCCTTCGTGTTTTCTAATTTCGTTCTGGAAAGGTCGAGTTCTAATTTTCAGGCCAGCTGACTTATTCCAAAGGCCCAGCCAGCAGAAATAGGTATTTCTATCAACCCTATTCACATTTTATCATGAAAATCATTCAAAACATCCCCTAACCAGTCCTTAATATACTAAATTCCCGAGAACACGACACTATTTTGTTGAAATTAATCCTTTGAATTATTTCTGGAAAATCAAATTTCCAGTCCCCCTGAGGCTAATACATCCCTCCAAAGTAGTGTTGCCCAGAACTGTTCACAATTGTTCGTGTGCAGTTGAAGCAAAGCTCTGTATAGCAGAAGCCTGGCATATCCCCATTGTATTCTTTCACTTTGCCAATTTTCTGTACATTTTGTCACTTAATTACTGATGTACTTGGATCTCTTTGGCCTTCCACTAATTTGTGTTATGTTCCCCATTTCCTCCCAAAACTATCTATTTCAGTTCCAGACTGTTTGTAAAACCCCTTCATGTGCTCCTGATGTGTCAGGTACTTACAATTGAATTAGCCCAACGGAATACCATGCCTAGCAGGAACACCCCAAGCAATGGACCACCAAGAATCCCAAAAATAGTGAGGGCAGCCTGGAAAACAGAAGAGAAAGTGGAGGGCTGATATATTTGTGTGATATCTGTGACAGAGAGATGCAAAACAGTTTTAAAAGGACAAATCACAGAAACCACTGAAGATCACCAGATTTATTTCACATTCTTTTGCCTCTCAGTTTAAAATAGGTTTTAACCTTTCGGCTGCTGATGTCACCGGAATAACTTGTTACCTTTGATCCTTAGATAAATTGTATGCTGTAAAGTCCTGCTGCAGCTCTGGAATTGGAATATTCTAATGATATTTCCTGTTCTCTATTAAAACTTTCTTTCTCCTGAAAGCACTGTCTGCATTGGTCCAGAATATTATTAATTTATTGAAAGCACTGAATCAGAAAATGTTTCTTAATAGACATGCAGTTCAACATGACACTAAAAAATTGGGGTTGAACCCAGCACAAATGGAGAGGCAGATGGAATAGGCAGGATTTTCAGCAGCGTCTGAGGGCAGGAATGGAGGTGGATACATAGTCTCATGTCGCTCCTAGCGTGCCAATTTCCCAGTTCATTCTGTGCCAGCATCAGCCTCCAGGTCACTGCATGTGGTGAAGGACAGTTCAGCTGCATGGAAACAAGTAGCAGACCAGGGGCCAGCTCTCCAGGCAGACTTAGAGGCCTCTCAGTCTACTTGAAGTGCAGAAGCAGGTATCCCACCATACTAGTGGCCTGACTGCAGAGGCCATTGCATATTTTAAATGAAATATTTGCAGAGAGGGTGCCACCATTTTGAAGTCCACTCCCTCTCTTATCTGCCGTGTTATTCTGCTGCTTTCAAGATGATTGGCTTCCTGTTAGCCCTCAAGCCTTGAGGGGGACTCATTAATGGATGGCAAGGAAAATGGCCAAATCAGGGAAAATATACTCATAAGGTATGATTAGTAAGTTTCCTACTAAAGTAGGTGGTATCGTGGACAGTGAGGAAGGTATTCAGAAATTGCAGCAGGATCTTGATCAGCTGGGGAAGTACCAGTGAGTAATTATCACCCACACTGAGCGGACTTAGACAGAGTCATACAGTGCTATAGCACGGCGACAGGTCCTTTGGCCCACGCTGGTCCGTGCCGACCAAAATGTCCATCCACGCTAACCCCATTTCCCTGCACTTGGCCCATATCCTTCTAAACCTTTCCTATCCATGTATTCGTCCAAATGCCTTTTAAATGTTATTAATGCATCTGCCTCAACCACTTCCACTGGCAGCTCATTCCATGTGTGTTAAACCCTGTGTCAAAAAGCTACCCCGCAGGTTCCATTGTATTCTTTCTCTTCTTACCTTAAACTGATGCCTTCTCGTCATCACTTCCCCAACCCTGGGAAAAAGACCAAGTGCAATCACCCTATCCATGCCTCTCATGATCTTATACACTTTTATAAGATCCCCCCTCAGTCTCCTCAACTCTAAAGAAAAAAATCTCAGCTTGTCCAACCTCTCCCTATAACAGTCCCTTAAGTCCTGGCAACATCCTTGTAAGTTTCTTCTGCACTCTTCCATTTTAATAACATCCTTCCTACAGCAAGGTGACCAAAACTGAACATAATATTCCAAGTGCGGCTTCACCAATGTCATGTAGATCTGCATCAGAACTTCCCAACTTCTGTACTCAATGCCCTGACTGATCAAGGCCAGTGTGCCAAAAGCCTTCTTCACTGCCCTGTCTACCTGTGACTCCACTTTCAGAGAACCATGCACCTGAACTCCACTGTCTCTCTGTTCCATGACACTCCTTAAGGCCTTACCATTCACCATGAAACTCCTACCTTGATTTGACTTTCCAAAAATGCAACACCTCACACTTATCGATATTAAACTCCATTTGCCATTTCTCAATCCACTTTCCCAGCTGATCAAGATCCTGCTGCAATTTCTGAATACCTTCCTCACTGCATACGAAACCACCTATTTTAGTGTCATCCACAAACTTACTAATCATGCCTTGTACATTCTCATCCAAATCATCAATATAGATAACAAACAGCAATGGGCCCAGCACCGACCCCTGAGGCGCACCATTAGCCACAGGCCTCCAGTCAGACAAGCATCTTTTCAGTGTTACCCTCTGCTTCCTACCATCAAGCCAACTGTGTATCCAATTTAGATAGCAAGGTGTAGAGCTGGATGAACACAGCAGGCCAAGCAGCATCAGAGGAGCAGGAAGGCTGACGTTTCGGGCCTAAACCCGTCTTCAGAAATGGGGGAGGGGAAGGGGGTTCTGAAATAAATAGGGAG